CTCCCGCCCCGGCGCGACCGCCGTGGCGCGCGCCGCCGGCCGGGGCGCGGGCCCGCGGCCGCAGCCGCCCGCCCCGCGCGAAAACACACCTGCTTCGGGGAACTTGGCGTGCACGAGCTCCAACAGCTGCGCATAGGATGTGGAAGCAGTCAGGGACAGCTGCCGCGTCTCCTCCCCAAGAGTGACCTTGGCAGACAGCGTGAACACCTGCCGCTGCTGCTGCGCCTGCGCCTGCGCCTGCTGCTGCTGCGCTTGCAGCTGCGCCTGCCGCTGCTGCTGCTGGGCCGCCGCCGCGGCAGCCTGCGCCGCTGCGGCCGCGCGCGCCGCGCCGTTTGCGGGGGGCGCGGGGGACGGGGCGAGCGCAGCGCCGAGGCCGGCGGGGCGGCGGCCGGCGACGGCGTCGCGCAGGCGGCGCTCGATGTCGCGCGACTCGTCCGTCGCCGCGTCGGTCCTGCGGAACGTTGATTGGCGTCAGGCGGCACGGCGGCAAGCGGGAACAATGACGGCGCAGGCATGGGAAGCGTCCGGGGCGGCCGCGCAGCTGCCAAGGCCGCGCACGGCTGGCTGCCTGCAGAGGTGACCGCCCCAAAACAGACTTCGGCACAGCCAAGGCCTGTACGCGACCCGGCTTGCGGCTGGTCAAACGGCTGAATTTGACCGGCCCCGCCCGCCCCCGGTCAAACGCGCCTGTTGACCGCCTGGATGTCGGAGAGCGCCTGCTTGTAAAGCCCCTGCTGCTCCAGGCTGCGCGCGCGCCGCTGCAGCGCCTTGGCGCTGTTGGGGGCAATGTCGAGCGCGTTGCTGCACTCCTTCGCCGCTTCCTTGAACCTGCACGGCACAAAATGGCAGGGGGCACGCCCCGGCCGCGGAGCAGCATGCAGCGTGAGGCGCAAAGACGAGGGACGCAACGGCATGCCGACGGTCAGCAAAGGGGCGGCCGGCCCCAGAGCCGTGACGAGGCCGTGACGAGGCCGCGGCGGCGGGCCGCAGTGCGGCTGCACGCCGCGGAACGCCTTGACACCCCAGGCTCGGCCAAGTCATCGGCGCAAGCGCACCGCTTGAGCTGGTAGTAGCAGGCGGCTTTGTTGCACAGCAGGTTTGCCTTGTCGGCCGCAGCCTCTGGCAGCGCCTTGGCGGCGGCGCCAAAGCTTTCCAGCGCCTTCGTGTATTCGCGCTTGGCAAAGGCCTTGTTTCCGTCGTTCACGAGCGCGTCCACCTTGGAGCGCACCTGCGGGCGCGGCGGGGGGCGCGTGGCGGGTCCGTCGGCCCGAGCGTGCCTCGCGGGGGCGAGCTGCATGGGGGCGCATGGCTTCCGCCGCCGGCTGCTGACAAACGCGGCGGGCGATGCGCGTGTCGCGGGGCCCGCATGGCGAAACTAGCTCAGTGGGTTGAACGTAGCCAAGTGCAGCAACACGGCGCAAATCTCCAGAGTTAAATAGGTGGTAGCCCACGCGGGGATGTGCCTAGATCAGCCGCTCGTCTCGATCACATCCGCCCCGCACGCATTGGCAGCTGAGCGCGATTCAGACCCCTCGATAAGCTCAGTAGGTTTCCGAGTCCCCCTCACCTCCTCGCTGACCTCCGCAGGCGCAGCGCGCGGGGAGGCCTTGGCGGCCTTCGTCTTGCCCATGATGTTGGCCCACGCGGACAACTTTTCGGGGCCTCCGAGACTGAGGTAGGAAAGAAATGAACCCGAGTATCAAACACGTCCGAATGGGTGGAGCAAGAGGGTGACTTGAAAGGTGCCAGCGATGAAAGCGCGCCATGCTGGCGACACTGCAGTGACGGAGCGCGTTGAAGGTCTTCGTGCAGGCGGCGATAGCGAAAAAGCACCTGTTTGATGCGTTTCCTTGCGATGCCCCACCTGTCTGCGGCTCCCTCAATGCCTCGGTGGTGGAAGCAGTCAACGGTCAAACATGCCCACGCCAAGGACGCTGCTGGCGCTTTCGAGTCTTTACACGTCCAAGAAGGCGAGGCAGCAGCCAGACCCCGTGCAGCCCATGTTAATCCACGCCGTTGATTCTCCGTGCCCCGCCCGCAGCCCCGCCGCCACTGCCGTTTGCTCCCGCAGAGGGCCCGTCGCCCCCCGCTGCTGGCGCCGCGCCGCCGCACTCGCAGCCTGGGCAGTTGTGCAGGCTCTCATGAATGTATGCGTCGCACTCAAAACAGAACAGCCGCCGGCACAGCTGGCAGCGCAGCACAAGGCCCGGGCCGTCCTCAGCGGCCGCTGCGTCGAGACCGTCGGACTCTGGCGCCAGCGGCCGCAGGCAGCCATAACAATACAGGCTGCTGCCGCCCTCCTGCCAAGTCGCGCCCCAGAGGGCGCCGCCGCCGCCGCCGCCGCCGCCGCCGCCGCCGCTGCTGCCGCCGCCATTGCCGTTGGCCCGCTGCTGCTGCCCGACAGCCGGCAGATCGCTGGCCCCGCCGCCGCCGCCGCCGCCGCCCTGCGCTGCTGCTGCCCCTGCTGCTATTGCTGCTGCTTCTGATGCCATCATGGCCCTGGCTGCGAGCTTCTGCAACTCCACCTCCCCCACTTCCTCAAACGGCTGTGGCCGGCCGCCAAGCGTGAGAGGGATGGGTGAGAGACATGAGTCACGGGCAGTGATAGAGAGAGGGTCACAGAGTGTGTGTGTGTGTGTGATGTGATTGTGTTGTGTGTATACATGTGTATGTGTATTCGTGAGAGAAAGAGAGAGACACAAAAAGAGGGTGTTTTTGTTTGGGCGACTGCGTGTCTTGAGTATCATTGGCTGCTGCACCTTGCAGTAGCGTCACTGGTGTTTGGAAACACCGCGACACCACTACGTGCAATCGGCCTTCGGCCCCCGCCCCCCAAAGCCTCCAAGCAACCCCAACCCCGAGTTCATGGCCTGGACATCCCTCTTGGCAGACCTGCGCACCACAAAGTCATGCTTTGCACAACAGCACGCACTTGCATACGCGCGTGCACACGCACACGCATGCAAACACACACACACACACACACACACACACACACACACGCACACACACACACCTGCACTGGGAACAAATGATGGTAGGACCGCGCTAAATGGGGCGAAGAAATGAGGGTCAGCCCGCACACGTGGCACCTGCGCGCGTCAATTGGCACCAGCGGCGCCGAGCGAGCCAAGCCAGGGATGCAAGCTGAGCAGCAGGCAGGCGGCTGCGATGCCACAAGGCGAGCCGGCGCAATATGCCGACAAGTCGGCACAAACAATGGGGATATGCGGGGTGTCACCGCAAGATTTGGCCATAAGAGCGCCCATCTTGTGGCAGCACGTCTCGATACCCTGGCCCCGCAGCAGGCAACAAGAGCAAGGCATGACCCCTCGCTCATCGCGCCCGCCGCTTTGAGGCGTTTGCAGCAGCGCCCGGGTCGCGCACCTGCACGGCAGCTCAGCGGTGCGCGCCTTGCAGCGGGGGCAGGTGTAACCGCCCGGCAGCAGCTCGGGCGACTCGCCCACAAACACCGAGCTGGCGGGGTCCTCTGCGCTGCGCTGGGGGAACCCCATGCGCACCAGCTCCTGTGATTGTTGGAACAGGTTTCAGGAAAAACAGAATTCAGGTGTCCAGCAAGAGCTTATGAGCCGATTCAGCCGAACCTGGCACGCTCCCCCACCAGGGGCTTCCTGAATGCCACGCCCAAGCCCGCGCCCGCCGCCCGCTGCCCTCGCGTCGCCCCGCCCCGCCCCGCCGCCACCCACCGCCTTGGACTGCCCCGGCGGCGCGGGCGGCGGCGCCGCGTGGGAGAGCAGCAGCTCGCTGAGGTGGGCCTCGCTCAGGGCGACGCCGTAGGCGCCCCCCGTCTCCTCCGCCGCGCGGCGGAAGATGTGCACCTCCGCGGCCACGCCCACGACGGACACGCTGCGCGGCATTCATGTGTGAGTGTGTGTGTGTGTGTGTGTGTGGGTTTGTGTCCGTGTGTGTGTGTGTGTATGCGCGCACGCTTTGGGTGGAGGTAGTTGAGGAAGGAAACAAACGGCTGTGACACGGAGGGCTGCTTCGACCCATGATTGTATCGGGGCTTTTAGCACTACGAGTGGTTGCAGGCTCATGCGATGCGATCAAGGCTGCAGGCTGCTGCACCCTTGAAACCGACAAACCCTTATCCAGAACCTTCACGCATGACACACACGCTCACGCGCACACACACGCGCAAGCACACACACACACACACACACACACACACACACACACACACACACTCACGCGCGCGCCCACAACCCCACCGTATGTGCGCGTCCTTGCATGCCTTGATGGCGCCCCGCACGTCCCCGGGGTCGACGCTGCTGATGGACGCCACCAACGCCAGCACCTCCCTGTGGCCATAGGGCGGCACCGGCCGCAGCGCGTCGCAGCAGAGCTCCAGGGTGTTCTGGAGGGACAGCTCGCCGCCTTGTGG